TGGGCATAGGTGCTGACTCCGTGGGTGCTCCGGGGCTGGAGCACCCACGGGGAAAAAATGGTGGGAGCTGAGCATACTGGGTCAGACCAAAGGTCTATCTAGCCCAGTATCCTGTCTTCTGACAGTGGCCAATGCCAGGTGCTTAGCGGATACAATTCTACTCTTTTCTTTCTCACACAGAATATCCAAACCTTTGTGGCCTAAAGTTAGCATCCTCAATCCACATTTAGGCACCTAAAGAAAAGTGACCTGATTTTTCAAATATGGTGAATACTTACAGCTCCCCTTGTCTTCAGTGGAAGTTGTAGAAGTTGTGGATGTTCAGTGTGTCTGAAAATCAGGGCAGGTTTCCCTTGGTGCCTAAATATGGATTTAGTAGCTTACCTTTAGATATCCAAAATTGCATTTTTGACTTCTATCTTTAAAATCAAAGTATATGTGAAATCTCCACACCCACAGACCTCACTGAGGTGCTGTCTAAGCCTATCATACTTTCTCAAATTTGCTGTCTAATTTTGTTTTTGAGAATGTTTTTAATTCATTTTTTTTAAATAAATTCTTTGGATTTGCATGTATAGTTGAATGAAGAGTCATTTTCAGTATTAATTTACAGGCAGCTGAAGACATTAGTATTATTAGTGGAGCCGGGAGGCAGCAGCCGAGGTCACGGTCCCATGATGCTAGGCACTGTACAAACACAGAGTAAGATACAGGCCTTCTTCTGAACAATTTATAATTGAAATACCTAATTCTCTCCTTTCCTCCTTCCTGTCTAGAGGCATCATCCCTCTGATTAGTACCTGTATGTCTGCTCATGCTATGAGTGTATGTGCCACTCTTAACAACACACTCTGTCATCTAAAAGTAGAAGTAATTAACAGAAGACTGTTTAGCTGGAGGCAGCTTAAATACTGTTAACTAATAGCTTCTGACAAGTAGGTTTAGAAATCTGGTACTAAATTTGTCCATAAAGTCACAGAAGGGTGGTGTGGAATTATCACTGTGGCAGAAAGTTCAAACTCAGCGATGAGACACAGGGGCAGAGGCATTATTAGGTGAATGCTATTAATCTAATTAAAGTAATAATTGTAAGGATAGCCAGCTCTCAGAAACTGCGAGCAAGATTCTTGAAACTATGTTTGCCTTTGTTCAAAATGAGAAACGCCATCCTTCAGTACATCAGCCTACAAATGCAAAGGACTTGTTTGTCTTCACAATGTTATTACCTTGAGTCAATGCATGTCTCTCTCAGGCGCTGTCAGTCCACTTCTTTGTAATTGGGAAACTCCAATTTAACACTGATATGGAAATGCTGCTACCTGTTAAGATGAAATATTCTGGCCCAAAAATATCTCTCTAAAAACATGCCTACTTATCTAATCTATCTATCTAATCTATCTATCTATCATTGTGGGAGATTTTCAAAGGCACAAATGGCAGTGAGGTACCTATGTATTAATGAGAATTGGATGTATAACTGCCCTTGTCCCTTTGAAAACTCTCCTTCTATCTATCTGTGTTTTCTTTGGGCCTCACCCAAAGGCCGCTGAAGTCAGCGAAGACACTCTAATTGGCTTCAATTGGCTTAGGATCCAGCCCATAGTTATCTATCTTATTTCTCTGTCTTACCATGATAGGAAGTTTAGCGCTATCTAAGTATATCTATCACTGTGATATCTAAAAGGCTGAGCTTCAAAGTTTGGATCAGGGTCTGAACTTCTCCAATGTCCGTGGGAGTTTGGATTTAAGGCTTTAGTCCGGACTCATAAACACAAATGACAGTCCCTCAGGGCATTACTATTCTGCTTAGGCAGGCAATTCTTTTCTTACTCATCAGTTGGTATTACATTAATTTGTTATATGTTCACTAGTTATAGGTCAGTTTTGTAAGCTGGCAGGTCAGCAGGACGTATAGAGATTTGTCATGTAATAGAGATTGGGTGTTTGCCGCAATGTTATTATACTAGTTAGCTTTTTAAGAAAAGACATGTTAAATCTAGTTGTTACTACATCTGTTATAAGGGCACTCGGTATACCAGTACAGACAAGCCATTTCCTGAACCTCTTTGTCAATTGCTTGAAGGAAAAGCTGCTCCTGGAAAGTCAGTGATGGGAAAGTGGCCTGGCAGAAGCTGTTGAAAACCCCACAAAGCTTTTGGGGGGGGGGGGGGGGGGGGGGGGGAGGGGAGGAGCCGGGGAACTCCACCACACCCTACTTCAATTCAATCCAGTTTGATTCAACTCTGTTTCTCAGCTCTGGCACCAAAGGATAAGAGGCAGTAGTACCAATGGCAGCCATTTTGGCATAAGTTATGGAAGAATTCAAACTTTTGACCTCCCAGCAGTAGATAAAAGAAGAGTAGAAAGTTCTGTACTCCTGGAGATATTTGGAAGTACCTGCTCCCTTTGGTTTTTCTTTTGAACTGACTGTTTTATGCAGTGTGTTCTGGGTGCATCAAAAGTGTTCAGGCATTTAATGTGCTGCTTGGCTTTTAATGCACTAAACCCTTGGTGGCATAAGATTGTGTCTCTGTTCATCTTTGGGAACTGCATATTGTGGACTCAGTTATTTCTCTTTCTCTTCCCTATTTCCCATGCTAACTGTAGGTTTAAGATATGTTTAACAAGCATTGTGGTAATACATCTCTCTTGTGGGTAGTCCCTTTTAGACCTGGTTGAGGTCACCAATTACTTTTATTCTTAATACTATATGGCGTGCTTAAAGTAACTGAAGTACTTTATCTTCTCAATACTTCTCATTTCTTGCATTTTATTTTGAATAGCATCATAATGCCTGTATAAAGCGTAAGTGGAACAACAACAACAAAAAGAAAAGCTAGAAATGTAATTACATGGGTTTTATTTGTCTTAGTTAATGAACACATTTTAGATCAAATTCAGTGTGAGTTCTATAAAGAATGCTCTTGTTTCTGTTCCAGCACAAAATCTGAACATGATCTTTGTATAAGCATTTCACTGAGATATATAGGGCCTCATTCTCATTTATGCTAAGGTCCCTTTGAACTGCTCTTTAACGCCCCTTTACACTGTCATAGTGGAGAGAAGGGCCCTAGTATAAATGAGAATCAGGTCTTTAGTGTTTAGTGGGAGTGTTTGTGGGGGGTCTGAGCATTAGATGTAATGCATTGAGATCCTTTCCAAATCTACATTGTAACAAGACATGCACAAATGCTAAATAAAACAACTGTTCTCTACCTAACCTAGGGTGTCAAACTCATTCTGTGGATAGGGCTACATTCTATTTTAATGTATGGTCTGTGGGTTGGAGTATGTATTTAGGACTTCTATACTCCATTGAGGCTACAGCATTTTTCCTGCTTATGTCAATAAGTTTACACAAAGACCAAAGGTGGAATATGGCCTTTATGTAGTAACTGAGCTTTTTGTTACTGTTATTTATTACTTGTTCAGTACCCAGTTGTTGCATTCATCATCATTCAGTGGTAGAAATATATTCAACTTTAAGATCATCCCCATCCCCTTCCTCCCCAACCTCCTTTCTGTTTCTTTTCCCCTTCCCTGTCTGACTCTTTCATCCTTGCTTCTTTCTGCATTCCTTCACTGTAGCAACTCCCATCGTCTCATGAGCTTTATTCCCATCCTGTCCCCCATTCCATAAACAAAAATGAGCAGCAAGGAAAAATGTCAATTTTACATATTAAAGTGTCATCAATGAGCTTTTAGAAGTTAACATGCCAATGAGATTGCTGAGGGGTGGGAGAGTTCACATCTTGGAGGTATTGTTTAGGCTCTCTGCAGACTCAGAAAGACAATGCTACATGAGTTTAAATAAGATTCACATCTGGACTGTTATACTCACAGCCAGGAGAGACAGAAACTTCCTTTTTTAAAACACAGAATGCTACATAGAATCATAGAATATCAGGGTTGGAAGGGACCTCGGGAGGTTATCTAGTCCAACGCCCTGCTCAAAGGAAGACCAATCCCCAACTAAATCGTCCCAGCCAGGGCTTTGTCAAGCCTGACCTTAAAAACATCTAAGGAAGGAGATTCCACCACCTCCCTAGGTAACCCATTCCAGTGCTTCACCACCCTCCTAGTGAAAAAGCTTTTCCTAATATCCAACCTAAACCTCCCCCACTGCAACTTGAGTTCATTACTTCTTGTTCTGTCATCTGGTACCACTGAGAACAGTCTAGATCCATCTTCTTTGGAACACCCTTTCAGGTAGTTGAATACTTTGTGTTCCTCTCCCTAAGTAGCTACACAAGGGGGAGGGAAAAGCAGAGCTGAGGTTAAACTCTCCTTCGCCAGGAAGCAGATAATGTCCCTGCACTCTCTCATCTATCCTCCTGAATAACAGGGGGAAAAAAATGTGCAAGCTAACGTCATGCTGCTTTTGAACTCTGTGTATCTCTCATCATCAGTTCACATTGCCTGCTCTAGTTTTACAGCACTTCCAAAATGACTAGAGAGGCACAAGGACCAGAAGTTGTGTGAATATAGTCTTAAAAGGACCCAGAGACATTTGGAATGTGAATTTCAGTAGTGACTATAAATTGTGGGGGCTTCCATTTTGTGTGCCTAAACTGAGAAACCTTACAGGAGCCTGATTTTCTGAGGGCAGTTGCTCAGCACTGTCTGAAAGTCAGGCCCCGTTAAGGGCTCTCAAATTGGGACTCCACAAATGGAGGCATGCAAAATCACTCATCACTTTTGAAAACCTTGGCCTTGCTTTATAGAATCCAATAAAGATGCTGAAGACAAAATTGATACTATATATTCTATTTATGTGTACGTTAACTACTGATATAAATTAGAATTAGATCATAATAAAACTGTTAAGATACCATATAGCCATTATACTATATTATCCTCTGCTTTGTATCTCCAAGTATATTATTCCATAATTTGCATTAAAATGTTGAATAATAATAAAAGAAGCTGGGGCTTAATGAGTCATATCTCATGTATCTGTAGACAATATTAATAATCCTACCATGCTTTTATCCCTACAGTGAAGATGTCTGTAAACGAGGATTCACTGTTATTATCGATATGCGGGGATCGAAGTGGGACTTGATAAAGCCTCTTCTGAAGACCCTTCAGGAAGCATTCCCTGCTGAGATCCACGTTGCCCTGATTATTAAACCTGACAACTTCTGGCAGAAGCAGAAAACTAATTTTGGCAGTTCCAAATTCATCTTTGAGGTGAGAGCCCAACTCAGAAGTTTTCTGGGGTGCATTTTGCCCCTCAAGGAATTTTCTTAGGGTAAAGACCAACTCTGTGCAGAGGGCCAACACAAGGACCATATTCCACTGAAGTTCCATGTTAGCTCAATTTTCAGAATTTAAGTTGTGCTTTGGCCCTGTGTTGGCCCTCTCCACAGGACTAAATTTCACCAGTATGTTTATATTGTTTTTTTTTGTGTGGCAGTGTTGCTTTCATTCTTTCCTTTTAACTAATTGATGGATGGTTAGTGGATTTTTGTTTGCATGTTTTTATGGTATGGTATGTTCTAAAATACAAAGAAAACTAAAGACGCAAAATTCTGTAGAAACTTCCTTTAGCTGGTCCTCTTATAGAGAATTTCGCGAATAGCCCCATTAAAAGGCATTTAGGTCCAGATTGCTAAAGGTATTTAGGCATTGCTGTGCTCAATTCTGCAATGCCTGATTTAGGAAACAAAATATAATTTTCACCAGGGATTTAGGCTCCTAAGTGCCTTACTCATATTTGAAAATGAGGGGGAGGGATAGCTCAGTGGTTTGAGCATTGACCTGCTAACCCCAGGGTTGTGAGTTCAATCCTTGAGGGGGCCATTTTGGGATCTGGGGCAAAAATCTGTCTGGGGATTGGTCCTGCTTTGAGCAGGGGCTTGGACTCGATGACCTGAGGTCCCTCCCAATCCTGATATTCTATGATTTTGTCTCCTATTTAGCAATGCCTAAATACTTTTAACAATCTGGACCTTAGACTTGAGGTTTATCTATATATTTTCATTACGTTAGGTTAATTGAAATTTACAACTGAGTCTTTTGCATGCTGTGTTAACTATAACAGGCTCTTACCTGATTTTCCGAGTGGAAAACAATAAAGGGTATGCTACATAATTAAAGAGGATTTTACTAACTTTCTTCTTGATGAAGGTAAACCAGCGACACACAGTTAAGACTTTTTGGTCTTTCTAGAAGCTTGAGCTTGTTACTCAAATTGAAGCAAAATTCTGGTATGCAAAAGGTTCATATTTCAATTGGCATACACTATTAGCTTTTCTTTTCTGCTCCATTTCTAAGATAAGGGTCCATACTTGGTTGATTTACTCCCATGTAAATCCACAGATTTCAGTGAGATACTGTGAATTTACAGAAGTGTAACACAGAGCAGAATGAACAGGAGTACTTGTGGCACCTTAGAGACTAACAAATTTATTAGAGCATAAGCGGTTGTAGCCCACGAAAGCTTATGCTCTAATAAATTTGTTAGTCTCTAAGGTGCCACAAGTACTCCTGTTCTTTTTGCGGATACAGACTAACACGGCTGCTACTCTGAAACAGAGCAGAATTTGACCCATAGTCTATAACACTGAATGTTGAATTGCCTTTTCAACTAACTATTGCTCCAGTTTAACAACGTTTTTAAGACCTGTTGAAGTTAGTGGGACTCGAGCATATGCTTAAAATTCAGGCTATGCGTAAGCTGACAGACAGACTGCTGAGCTATTCTAATAGTCAGTCATGGCTCCAGATTGTAGGGGCACTCCTGTGTTTTCTCTTACGGCATCTGCTGTCTGTCATAAATTAAGGGCACAAAGTGCTCCTCAGGCCTTTACTCTGACTGCCATGCTGTTCACTGACATGTGGATGCCCTGACTGAATTCCTGCTGCTGCTGCTACTTTGGAACCCGCTATTGGAAAATGTTACGTAGTCTTGGGCACTGGAGCAGCTACCTCTTCACATAGATCCCTCATTCAGAAGAGTTGCATTATTAAAGCTCTATAATGTTGTATAGAGCAGGTGTGAAAATACATTTATTCTACTTTGATTTTATTTCTTCCCCCTCTCCCTTTTGTTTTTGCTGTGGGTGTGGGGCAGTGCCTGTGTGCCCTAAGGACAGAACTGCCACTGTTGATTTTACACAGCCAAGGTAAAACACAATGGGGTAGATCCTCAGCTGAGGTAAATTTGTATAGCTCACCAGAAATCAGTGGAGATAAATGATTGATCTGAACAGAGGATCTGATAACTACTAGTATCAATTTTAAGGCCAAATTCTGCCTTTGACGTTTATGAAAGTAATGCATGCATCGCAAGGCAGAATGTGTCCCTTTGTGACGGCTGATTACTTGCATTTGAAGTCATAGGAAACTCTGCTGTGGCCAGTTCTGCTTTACAGACTTCATTTTTCCCTTAAAAGTAAAATAAGACATAAGCTGTTGTCAAGCAAAAAAGAGCAAGACAGACACTTGATTGACTAATGCAGACTCCAGGAACTTCCTGTCACTGTGAGGAATGGCCTCAGAAGCCTCATTATCATTAATTCAGAGGTGTTTTTGAAGATTATTTTCTTTTCCTCCTGAAAAGGTTGAATAAGCGGGCAATGATTTTTATTGGTTGCATTTTAAAAGAAAAAGAAATGAGAGCAGATGGACTGTTACCTTGTCTTAGCCCATCCATACCTGCTGAAGTAAGGTAATGTATTCCTCTCAAACAGTTCTCAAGGGGAACAAATCTGAATAACAAATTTGCCTGCAGAACTCTTTAAATAAAAAGTCCTCCTGCCATATCATCATGTCAAAATGCTGATAAGGGAGAGAATGTATTGCAGTGTCTTGACAAACGGTGTATTAGCAGTAAGGAGAGAGCTTTTTTTTGACAAGTAATCATACTCTAAATTGAATTATCATATTGGTCCTTTAAAGGGTCAGTGTACATGTTGACAGGTTATATAATTTTAAATGCCTTTTAAAATTGCATATTTACCTTCACATTGTTGTCCTGATCTCCCTGAAATGACCCTGTCTGTGAAAGAACATTACAACAGAATTTTAAAATACCCCCTCTAGTAACCAATTTGCTTATATAATTATCTGTGCATATCTTCAGTAAAAAAAAAATTTTTAATATGTAGCAGAGTTGTCTGAAATCATTTTTAGATGCATAGGAAACTGAAATAACAGATTGTTACCTGTTTACAATCTGGATTTACCAGTGAGCATCCTGTACTGTTGGGCCAAATTCAGACCAATAGCCTTCAATGGGAGTTTTTCCACTGACTTGAATAGGAGTTGGACTGGGCCAGATATTTAAACAAGTGGCCTATATTTTCTCTATTGATGTGATTTTGGATGCCTCAGTTTTCTGGGTGTACAAATGGAAACACCACCCAGGGCCTGATTTTCAGGGGTCAGGTGTCCAGCACTTTCTGAAAACCAGTTCCCTTTAAGGGCTCTCAAGTTGAGCACGCAAAAATGGAGACACCCATAATCACTAGTCAGATTTGAAAATGTAAGCCTGTATTTCAATAAAAAGAATGTATAAAAAGAATGTGAACAGCTATCCATCATTAGGCCATTACGTCTTACTAAATCCAAATTCTGAGTTGCTTTCCACACATCAAATTCCTTTATTTGGCATTGATTTTGTTAAAATCTAAATAAATTAGAACAGTGTCTCATTGATTTTGCATGATTCATGGGTGGACCCTTTTATTCTTTTTGTTAATAATCCAATTACATTTTATTTTTACATTGATTTTGGCTTAATCACAGTAGAAAGTAGTAGTGTGAAAGAGTTCTGACTGTGGCATAAAGCAACTGAAATAATCTGAAAGAAAATAAGAAGCAGTATGCTGTGTATTTTGGTAAAACAGACTACATGCCTTCATTCACATGCCCAAAACTTGTTTTGCTGTACAATCACTGAGCTGCATATAATGCAGATAAGACAAGTAAGTGTAATATTATGTATCCACTTAGTAAGTCAGCATAGCCAGTCTTCAGTAAGCATACTTTGATATTCAGTTAGAGCATGCGCTTTGGGTTAAAGTAATCTCTGCAGAAGCATTCTCGGATGGTCAGTTTAGTGAAAAATAAAATAAAATAAAAAAGCATTTGATTCCAGTAAAGTTCTCCACTAAAAGAATAACAGGTACACTTAAATAAAAATAAGGGGTTTCAAGCTGGTTGAATTAATTGGAATTAGATATAGTCTCTAGTCTTCTCTAAAATGTTTTTTTCAGTGACATATTTATGAGGAAAATAATCCATTCATGCCATTTACAGATTCCAGGATTATTTCTGGTTGGTCAATGAAAACTGATTCAGATTGTGTCATTTTCCTCCCTTAGACAAGTATGGTCTCTGTTGAAGGCCTAGCGAAACTTGTTGATCCTTCCCAGCTGACTGATGAATTTGAAGGATCCTTGGATTACAACCACGATGAATGGATAGAGCTGCGGGTCTCCTTGGAAGAGTTTTTCAACAGTGCCATCCATTTATTATCAAGGCTAGAGGATCTCCAGGAAATGTTGGCTAGGAAAGAATTTCCGGTTGATGTAGAAGGGTCAAGACGGCTGATTGATGAGCACACACAGCTTAAAAAGAAAGTGATCAAAGCTCCTGTGGAGGAACTTGACCGTGAGGGCCAAAGGTTATTACAATGCATAAGATGCAGCGATGGTTTTTCTGGTAGGAACTGCATTCCTGGGAGTGCAGACTTCCAAAGTCTTGTGCCAAAGATCACCAGTCTGTTGGACAAGCTGCATTCAACCCGGCAACACTTGCATCAGATGTGGCATGTTCGCAAACTGAAACTAGACCAGTGCTTTCAACTCCGACTCTTTGAGCAAGATGCTGAGAAGGTAAGGAATAACCTGTCCCTTCAACACTTTTACTGAGCTATTAACACATGGGTACTATGACCATTATTATTTTTTCTACAATTAGCAACATGAGGAATTACTGAGAGATATAAATCTCAAGTTACCAGCCGATGTGCTTTATGTGACTCCTAAAACAAAATCACTGAACTAATTGTTGGAAGTAGCAGGCATAATGAGATCCAAGAATAACCTGCCTGTGTCAGTTCTGACGAAAGTTAATCTGCTTTATCTACTCACTGTGGGTACAGTTGGTAGACATTAGCATCTAAAATTGGGCTTTACTCAAGTTACTTTTGATATTTATGAATATATCCGTGTAGCCCTGTGCCTAAAGGAGAATGACAGAGTTTGAGTCACTCTGATTATTGTTTATATTTCTAGTCTAACCATGGAAAATGTGTAACTAGAGATGAGTTTTTCTTGATTGTAATTCCTATCCATGTTTTCAGTCTCCCTGTCCTACAGAAGAGTGACAGGATTTACAATTGGTAGGCCTTTAAATAATGGAATTTAGTACCAAGAAAATGGACATTTAGGTTCACTAGCACAAAATCAGGGTTTGTATTTGGGTTAGACTTAACTAAACACATGATTAGACAAAAGAAGTGTTCTGAAATTACCACAGTGTGTAAACTCAATGTATTTGGTTTGCATTAAAGAGCACATAAGGATGGCATTTGAATTGATACCTAACTGATGAGTCAGGGTCCAAGACTCATCCTGTTCTCCAGCATGGGATCATGTTTGAAGATTTATGTAAACATTAAGTTGTCCAATGCAATCTTTTTGGCAATTTAAAATCTCATTTGACATTTTCAGTACTGCACAACAGTCCAAAGAACACACAGTGGTCTTACACAGTATATAAAGAAATCTACATAGGTAAGTAATATGGCTATACCAAGAGTTAGTTGCATAATATGTCAAAAAGGATACAATTCAAGTAGAGTTATATTCCCATTTCCTCTCCATACAATAAAACAATAATTTTAAAGGTTGTGGGATGGGACAGAGAGAATGCCCTGCAGTGAAGCAGGGTAGTTCATCCATGTTAGTTGAAAAGACAATGGCTAAAGTATACTCAAAATCACATAACTGTGCAACAGACATAACATACCGTGATGGGAGACTGTCTCCCTAGACAATGTCTCCTAGTGGTCAGAGCACTGGTTAGCCATGTTGTCTACTGGTCAAGTCTGGGGTTCGCAGTAATGCCTAGTGATTAAAGTCTGGGGTTGGTGGTAGGGGAACTGGGCCCTCCTGCTCCTCTGGGTTCCAACCCAGGGCCCTGGGGCAGGCAGTTGAGGTGTGTGACCTGGGCCATGGTATCACCCAGCCTACTCCCTGGGTTACTTCCCACTGTGTTCCTGACTCTCCTGATGCGTGGTGAAGGGTTGGCTAATGCCTGCAATGCGTCTTACCAGAAAAGGGTCAGGAAGGTCTCTTCCCCTACTCATGAGCAGATGCTTCTCTTTGTCTCTTATGCAGTGGCTTGTGGTCTGAATTGAGGTCTGCTTTGGGTGGTGTGGGGCTGCTCTAGATTCCTGCAGGAGCTATCAATGCAGGTCTACTCCCTCACACTGACCACCTTGACTGAAATGTGCTGTGGCATTTTAAGCTTCGCCTCCATTGAGAGCATTCCCAGCAGGCACAGTTGGGCAGAGCCTCCTGTGACCAGAGCTGCTCCTTAACCCGCTGTTCCCCAGAGTGAGATTTGTACTCCCCATCACACATTCCTATCAAATTACAGTATCATCTGCTTTAACTGGCTTCTTATTACACATAATACTGACTTCAGTCTGTGTCTGTGTGCAGTGCAAGGTACTGATTCTGACCTATAAAACTGTGTCAGGTTTGGCTCTTGGCAGATGAAGAGGCTCTCTCTCTATTCATGAATCAGGGAAGCAGTTGAGACCAACTTTGCCCTTTCATGAATAGTCATTACTGTAGATTTAAGAATCTGGTCAACAGAGGCAGGGTATTCTTAATGGAGAACCCTTAACTCTGGAATTCAGTCTCTCTGTGTTTGTCCACCAGAGCCCATATCTGTGGATGTTTGAGCTCAGTGTGTGAGTCATGTGTCACTTAAGCATTTGCTGGGAGCTGAGGGTGATAGTGGAGAGGCTATGGAGCTACTCTGGAGAGAGAGTCCATCTACTATGATATTTTTAAAAAACTGCAAATTAATTCTTGCACTTAGAGCTTTTTGGAGCAACATTGTAAAAACTAATTTAATAAAATCTCAAGTCATGCAAAGCCAGAGATAAGATAAATACATGCTTTCATCCCACATTTAAAATATATCTGAGAAGGGCAGCTACAAAAGAGGAGGGCCTTCTGGTCTAAGTATCAGTTTGGGAAGACTTTGACTTATTGAGTTACGGGTTCAACTTCTGACAGATTGTGTACCATGCAGTTTACTGTACATGTAATCTTTGACATGAGGCCCTAAAAAAACGAGATCCTGTCTGCTCTGCATTTAAGAGCCCATGGCTTTGCTTCAGTATCGTTAACCAAAATTTTCCCTTCAACCCCTCCACTTTTGGGTGGCATGCTGTATGTTGGTTGGTTGCTGCTGTCCATTGCAGAGGTAGCTGCATTTCAATGGTGCTGTATCAATATGGATTTTGAAGCACTTGTAGATCATTCAGATGGAGGGTGCTTTATAATGAAAATAATCATTTACATTAGTTATTATTATTAATATCTGTAACCCCCCTTTCTGCCCTGGGTTATTCGGGAGCAGGCAACACTCACCTCTGTGCCTGGGCACCTGATGTTGTTGACATTAAAGGAGATCCTGAGTATCCCAGTGGTGATACTGGATAGGTGGGAATCCTCTATCCCCTCACTCTGCAGCAGTCCCTTTACTCCTAAAGGAATTTAAATTGGCGGTGCCTTCACCTGGCTGGCCCCTGTACACACTCAATGGTGTGCCTTGGGAACCTCCAGGATTAAAACTATTCTAATAATAATAATAATCTGTGGCCTGGGTCTAACTCAAAAATACCAATTATAAATAATATACATCCACTATACTTAAATTAGAGTTAACACACCTTTACTTAACAACTTAAAGAAACAGGGTATAACGGACTAGGATTTAAATTAGTAGTGACATTTAATCTACTGGGCGCAGTTGAATAAAATCAATTAACAAATATAGTATACAGTAATAAATTAAACTTACCTACCTGGCATTTACTCCACCCCAGAGTGTACACTCCTCTGGATTTTTGAATCCTAGATGCTTGCATGGGTGCGCTTGAAGATCTGAAGCTGGAGACAGCACTCTGTTGGTTCTGTGTATCAGTCCAGCCAAGGCAACAAGCTGCACAACCCTTCTGACAATTGGAGCTGGCCCCACCAAATGTCAGCAGCTCTGGGTCATGGTTTGATGGGAAGATCACTCTGCCTCTCCTCAGACTCAGTCTCTCTGCTGTGCCCTTTCCCTTGCAAGTACTTTCCCAAACAAGAGTGGGGGTTAGTCAGAATTCTTTCACTGCAGGCCCACCTCAGTCAGCTCCAGGCACAGCAATAGTCTCTCCCCTGGCTCCAGTACAGCCACCAACCACCTCAGAAGCTCCCTCTTAGATCAAAGCCCCGGCAGGCTCTCAGCAGCAGTTAGCAGCTGCTCCTGATATGGACAGAGCTCCACACCAGCAATCTGGCTCCTCTCCCAAAATGGAGCCTACCACCTGTTCTCCCTGCACTCCCTGGAAGAGGAAGTCTCTCACTCTTTCCCAAGGCATCATGGGAGTTGTGGCATCTAAGGCTGGATTGCAGCACACAGGATCTTCCCACCTGGAACATTTTCAATTAAATTCAGAGGCCCCACTAGTAAAGGGTGCCTACATATCAATAATATAATAATAGTGGTTACAGCTAAAAGACTATCTAACTTAATGAATGCCAGTGAAAATGAGGTAGGAAAGAAAAATAGGGAAAGAACAAGTTAAAAATTACTTAAACAAGTTAGATATCTTCAAGTCACCAGGGCCTGATGAAATACATCCTAGAATACTCGAGGAGCTGCCTGAGGATTATCTGAGCCATTAGCGATTATCTTCAAAAAGTCTTGGAAGGTGGGAGAGATTCCAGAGGACTGGAAAAGGGCAAATATAGTGCACATCTATAAAAAGGGAATAAGGGCAAATGGGGAATTACAGACCAGTCAGCATAACTTCAGTACCTGGAAAGATATTGGAGCAAATAAGTAAGCAATCAATTTGCAGACACCTAGAAGATAATAAGGTGATAAATAACAGCATGGATTTTTGAACAACAAATTGTGTCAAACCAACTTAATAGCTTTCTTTCACAGGGTAACAAGTCTTGTGGATGGGGGGAAGTGATAGATGTGGTATATCTTGGCTTTAGTATGGCTTTTGATACTGTCTTACATGACCTTCTGATAAACAAACTAGGGAAATACAACCTAGATGGAGCGAATATAAGGTGGATGCATAACTGATTGGAAAAGCATTTCCAGTGAGTCGTTATCAGTGGTTCACAGTCAAGTTGGAAGGGCGTATCAAGTGGAGTCCCACTGAGATCAGTTCTGAGTCTGGTTCTGTTCAATATCTTCATCAATGATTTAGATAATGGCATACAGAATATACGTATAAAGTTTGTGGACAGCACCAAGCTGGGAGGGGTTACAAGTGCTTTGGAGGATAGGATTAAAATACGAAGTGATCTGGACAAACTGGAGAAATGGTCTGAAGTAAATAGGAGGAAATTCAATAAGGACAAATGCAAAGTACTCCACTTAGGAAGGAACAATCAGTTGCTCACATACAAAATGGGAAATGACTGCCTAGGAAGGAGTACTGCGGAAAGGGATCTGGGGGTCATAGTAGATCACAAGCTAAATGTGTGTCAACAGTGTAATGCTATTGCAAAAAAAGAAAACATAATTCTGGAATGTATTAGCAGGAGTATTGTAAACAAGACACGAGAAGTAATTCTTCCGCTCT